TCTCCAAGATGGGGTGGCCTCCGCTGTATCACTGTAAGATGAGGGGCTGGGGCCCCAAGTCTGAAACAGAGCAGCTGATGGATATTGCTATGATGCTTCCGCGCGAAATCCTGGCTAAGCTACATCACGTCGGCGATGAGAGCGCGCTTCTGGAGACGTCGAGCCCCGACGGCGTGTCTTTGCGCCGCGTGCAGAAAGCGAGGGCTGAGAGCGGTTGGGACGATCTCGTGGCCTTGGGCGCGTGGCAGGACGGACCCCCCTGCTTCTGGGACCGATCAATGAGCGCAGAAATCATCAGCATCATGCTGCCGAGTGCTGCAGGCTGATGAAAAAATGCGCGCACCGTTAACTGCGTTCCTCAAGGAGCATGTTGGCCCCAACACATTTGATGATATCTTCGCCGTGGTGCAATGGAGTTTAATTCATTTGGCTGTCAAGCGCTGGCCGGCGGCGCGGCACGACGGGCCCCCTTTTGTCGTGAACACAGACACCTGGAGGAAGCGCCAGCAGGGTTCTTTACCGATTGGAGGGGTGCTTTGCCAGATCAAGGGGGACTGGAAGATGATGAAGGAGGTGCTCGAGCTACCTGGCTGGCAGGACGACGAGATTTGCTTCCTGCGCAACATCAAGAAGGGCGAGGCCCGCGGGCACCCAAACCATCACGGGAACTTATATGTCAAAATCCCCTCTTCGATGGGGGGTTTAGGGATGAAAATCTCTTTCGAGGGAGGGAACTTATTGAGGGAACCGTCTTGCGCCCCCTGCTACAGGAGATCGTCGTCTTGCGGGCGGGAAGGAGAGGGGGAAGGAGGGGGGGGGAGGAGGAGGGAGGAGGAGGGGAGGAGGAGGAGCAGGAGGAGAAGGAGGAAGAGGAGAAGGAGGATGAGGAGGAGGAGCATAGGGAGGAGCAGGAGGTGGGCGCCACCGCTCTGCGAATCCCCCATTCAGGTGAAGTCACAGACTGGGGGAGACGCGCCGTGGAGAACAAACCGCCGCACGTGGTCGGACATCATTTGGAAGATCGTTGCTTCAGGCGAGACTGTGTGCCCTCTCTTCCAAGTGCCGTTTGCAAACGAGAAGCTGCTGAAGTTAGACTGGCTGCACGTCGTTGACCTTGGAGTGGCGGCTGACTTCATCGGCGGCTTGGTCTGGTACCTCGTAACGCACAGAAAGGTTGCAGGAGCTGCTCAGAAAGCCCGCGTGCTGACGCTGCATCGTCATCTGATGGCGTTCTACGACAGGCAGCCGCCAGGTGGGAAGACCAGCCGCTTGCCGAAGCTGACGCGGGGCGTCGTGAATGGGGAAGAAGGCGAAGACGGCTAAGATGAGGTGCGGCGCGGGGATGCTCAGGCGCACGGTTCCATGGGCGATGGAAATTGCGGATGAATTCCTTGATCGTCGGGATGGCGCCGACCAGCGGGCAGCTGTGGAATCGTCAATTCACGCTGGGATGAAAAGCTTGAGTCGGTGTTACGACGCGCTGTCTGATAACCATCCATTTGCTGTGGATATTCTTCGTGAGCATTCAATGAAGTTTGGCACGCAGGTGGCAGCTTTGGAAGACGCGCTCCCAACGCATTTCAAAGTTAAGCCGAAAATGCACATGTTCCAGGAGCTCTGCATGGAAGGCGGCGAGCCAGCGAAACACTGGAATTACAGGGGCGAGGATTTCGGTGGATCTGTAGCTGCTTTTGGCCGAAGGCGGGGTCAGAAGAGATCCATGAGGGCATTTTCGCTGGCATGCATCGCGAAGTTCTGTGGCCAACCGATTCTGCGCATGCTTTGAAAGAAACACCTTGGGCATCATCATTGTCATCATGTACGAAGCCCCTCCCAGTTGGGGTTTTGAGACCCCTCCCAGTTGGGGCTCAAACCAATTTAAAACAAACAATCCTGTATCGAACTATTTTTGCCGGGCAAAAAAAGATCAACCCAAACAAAAGTTCAACCCCCGCATTAAAGTACAGCCAGGCATTATAGTACAACTTTGGAATCTCAAGGGCCCGTCGCCCCTCGGGGGCCGGTGCTGGCTGCTCCGGGGCAGTCGCCTGCCGTCGCTCCGGAGCGGGCGCTGCGCGGCGGGCGTCGCCGGCGCCGTTGCCGCGCCCGGCTGCTGCCGCCGCTGCTGCTGCTGCTCCGCCCAGCCCTTCCCCCCGGAGTGCTACCGGGTGCAGCCCCGCCGGGGGCGGGGCCGCCGCAGCCGTTGCCGCCGGTGCGTCCGCGGCGCCGGTGCGTCCTCGTCGCCCGTCGAGTAGTAGGAGTGGCTGTCCTCCTCGCTGCCCTCCCCCGGGGGCGCCGTCGCCGGGCGCGGCTCCGCAGCCGGGCCCGCCGCAGGCCCCTCCGCCGGCGGGCCGGGCCGGCGCGCAGGCCGGCCAGGAGTGGGCCCGTCCGGCCGCGCGCGGGAGTGGCGCGGCGGGTCGCGGCCGCGGTGCCGGCGGCTGCGGCTGCGGTGGCGGCTGCGGCTGCGCTGCCGCTTGCGCTGCTGGCGCCCCCGCCGCGGCGCCCGCTCCGGCGCCGAGCGGTCGCGCTGGCCCCGGCGTCTCGCCGGGCGGCTCCGCGAGCGCTGCCCAGCGCCCCGCGTCTCCCCCGAGTCCTGCCCAGCTCGGTTGCCCCAGCTGCGGTGCTGGTCGGAAGGGGCGCCGGGGCTTCCGCCAGGGCGGGCCGGCCGCCGCATGGGCTGGCACCCGCGCCGCAGCGGGGTCGTCGGAGCCGGCCTCCGAGCCTGCCCCCCCCGCGCCGCCTCCGCCAGCGCCGCCGGCCCCGCCGCCGGCTCCCAGATCGGGTGCAAAAACCGAACCTCGCGCGGGGGCCGGCTCCGCGGCGCCCGGCCCGGGCGTGCCTTCGCCGCCGCCGCCTGCGCCTTCGCCTGCCGCCTCCGCCACCACGGCGCCATCGCCTGCGCCGAGCCACGCTCCAGGCGCTGGGGGGACGGGCGCCGGGCCGGCCGCCAGGCGCCAGGCCCAGCCCGCCGGGAGGCACGGGAGGAAGACCCAGCACCTGTCAGACGGGCTCTGCATGCGCCGCGCCGCGGCGCGCGCGGCCCTGCGCCAAAACTGCTGGTGGGCCCTCGAGCCCACGGCCGCGGCAAACTCCCAACCCCCCCACGGGGGTTGGGAACTTGAGCCAAAATGGCTACGGACACACACACACACACACACACACACACGCACACACACACACACGCACCCACACACACACACACACACACACACACACACACACACACACGCACGCACGCACGCACGCGCGCACGCACGCGCACGCACACGCACGCACGCACGCACGCACACGCACGCGCACGCGCACGCACACGCACACACGCGCACGCACGCGCACGCGCACGCGCACGCGCACGCGCACGCGCACGCGCACGCGCACGCGCACACGCACACGCACACGCACACGCACACGCACACGCACACGCACACGCACACGCACACGCACACGCACACGCACACGCACACGCACACGCACGCACACGCGCGCGCATTATGTGCAGCTGCGGGGGAGAACGACGCGTAAACTCGTTCACAACAACGCGCGAGAAACGTGCTGCTCGTGAGGGGGGCCGCGCGCGCACGGCCTCGCACGGGCCACGCGCGAGAGGCGCGCGGGGTCTCCCCCACAGTGGGATTTCTCGAGTTCTCGGCGACGCTGCACGCCAAGCGAGCCAGGGCTGGACCTAAACAATGGTTTTTCGTGGTGTTTTCGTGGTGTTGTTCGCTTTGTTCTACCCGGTTTCCTCGACCTCCCTGCCAACACGAAACACGAAACACGAAACCGAAACCCAGCAAGACAGCGTTTAGATCCAGCCCTGCTGCCCTCCGCCCTTTTCCCACCCCTCGGACTCGGACTCGGACTCGGACTCGGCTCCTCGCGTGTGGCGCCATGAAGGCGCGGCGGAGTGGGCGCCGAGGCGCCTGCATTGGAAGACATCGGCAAACAAATCTGCATGTGAAAATTATGCATGGGAGGCGTCAAAGGAGGAGAGGAGGAGGAGGAGGAGGAGGAGGAGGAGGAGGAGGAGGAGGAGGAGGAGGAGGAGGAGGAGGATACCGATACCGCTACTCCCCAGGCCTCTCCTGGGGCGCGCTCTGACCAGGACGCCGAAGCGAACGGCGTGGCGTCGAGGGCCGCTCGGGAGGCCCCGACAGGGGAATACGGCCGAAAGGTAGCTCGCCGTCGCTCGGACGTCCATTTCCCGTGCACGTTTCAGTTTCGTGCGTGTTTTTTTTGCTCGTTGGTCGAGGATGGTCCTCGATGGTTCTCGCAGAAAAAATGCACACGTCCAAGCGATGCCAAGGTAGTGGTATGGGTGCCTTTCATCCTCCGCATTCCCGTGGTGGTGTCGGGGAACATTGACAAATCACACATGGAGCCCGTGCACTCCAACCCGAAATTGGGTCCTTCGGGTTGGGTTGGGGTGGTTTGCATTGGGTGGTGAGTATCCGCCACCTTTCCTGAGGAACCGAGCAACTTGTAACGTGTCCTGGCGCCACGTGGGGCCCTCTCGGGGCTGTTTGGAACTGCCTGGGGGCGATCGCCAGGGGGCGATCTCGGAAGCTTCTTGGGACATCGTGGACGCTCCGAAAACTGAAAAGCGAGCGTGCGATAACAATACCAAAACCAATGGAACAAAAACAATAGTTGTTGCCTTTGGGGGGCCTCCGAAGATGTTTTCAAGCGCCCTTCCCCCCCCCCAGCAACGCGTGCAGGGAACAAACGACCGCCTGTGGGGCTCGCAGCAGGCTTCGGCACGAAAAGCCACATGAGACGACGTCGCACTGGTCGTGAGATATCGATGAAAAGCGGAGGAGTCGGGAGATGACGCGGAGCTGATGCAGAGGTAGGGCGAAACTGACGGGCATGGGACGCTGAGTAGACAACCTGCGACGGAGCGGGCCATCCACGCAGCGCGCTGCCACTCGAGGAAGGAGAGGGGCAGGACATGGCCGCCAGGGCTACAAACATTGCGCACCCATGCCGCGGCGACGCCTACCTCACAGCGTCGCGAACGTGATATCGTCCGAGAGGATTGCCGTGCAAAACATGCCGCCGAGCACGCTGGCGTTGCTCGTGTAGTTCGGCAGGTCTTCCTCGGACAGCCTTAGCTTCTGGGCGGCATCCTGCAATGAATAACGAGGCTCGAAGATGCCTGCCCTCGTCAAATACTTCCTCATCACCCATGTCCACATTGTGTAGTTGTCTGCGTCGTGGTCGCAAACTATGAGAGCCACTTGGTGATCGCACCTGCCTGAGAGTTTTTCACCCTTAAGTGGCCCCGAGTCGATGGTCAACAATGCGACCTCGAAGGCGCAAGCATCGTAGAGCATATCCTCTTTGAACGATGGGACGTTCAATATTGCTTGGGTAATGGTGGCCTGCTGGGACATTGGGTCTTCGGGGTAGATCTTCGGGTTGCGGATCGCAAGATCCCTGCAGGTATCGTCGTCGACACTCGCACAAGACGCCTGCGGGTTGAAGAGTTGGGTGCAACCCTTGCCAACAGGGTCGATAACAGCATCGCACATCCACATGGTCACGGGATCCATTACGCCCTGGGGAGCACTCACAAGGGCATGCTCCTCAGGACTCTCGCCGGGGTAGAACATCCCTGGCAAAGAGTTGGTGCAATCCTGTTCAAGGGAATCCTGGAGGTACCCACTGATCAAAGACTGGATCCACATCCCCGCCAATCTGAAGGGGTTTTAAAGGGTTGCCATTCGCTGCTAGGCAATCTGCCGGGTTGCCCCCGCAAGTGCTTGAGTAGTTGAAATCGACCGCCTGCTTCGGACGCCATACTCCGTCATCTTGGTATGGAACCAGACCAGGGAACTGGTCGTTGAGGACGTAGTCGCAAGGAAAGCTCAGCTGGGGCGTGGCTCTGCCAATCCAAGTGAGCCGCAACGCCATCTTGAGCGCCTTCGCAGGCGCTTTAACGGAGAGCGTGCCCAGGGAGGAGATCCAGCCACAAGTGCCAGTGCCCACCTGGTTTGGACTCTCCAGAAGTACGGAGGTGACAGCCTCGCAAACTCCATACATGACCCAACCGTTCCCCCTGATGATATTAGCCGACGGAGGCATGCTCTCTTGAACGACGTTCGTCACGGCCCCCTCCTCCCAGGACGGGTAGTCGCCCCAATTGGACACGAGGTAGTTGGCGAATTTGGGCCCCTCTGGAAACGTGTCTGTGAGCGTAACCGAGGCCTTGTAGATGGCGACGAGTGCGTGGCAAGTGGGATCGTCGGCGTACTCTGCGACGCAGGCTAAGATTTTCAGGAGTTCGTTCATCTCATCAGCTCCTGACCCGTTGGACTTGACGACTTGACATCGTCCCAGTTCGTGCTGGCGCATACAATCCACGACGGGTCCGCAAACACAGGACGCGCCAGCTGCGAGCCGAGGCCAGTGACGTTTGCGAAGGCCTCCTGGATCACCTTGTCCACGGACGCCTCGAAAGACCGCAAAGCTTCAGCCTGCTCGCGGGGCTGCTGCGATCCGGTCTGCTCGCAGCGCTGCTGCGCAGCGCCAGGCAGCTCGCCTCGTCCGCGTCCTCCGTCGGCGTAGACGCGAGGGCTGCAGCGAAGAGCAGCGCGAAAGGGCTCAGGCGAGATGTGGTCCACATCGCGGCGAGCGTGCCAGAAAAATTGAGGCGGCTGGAGGCGGGCGCCCGGCTCAAAACTCCCTTGAGCCAAAATGGCCACGGAAAATTGTTCTTCAAGCGCCCTTGGGCCGTTTTGGGCCCGTCTTGGGCGGGACTCTGGAGGCTGTCCTGGGAAATATGATGGGGCACTTGGGCCTTTGGTGGACCGCTTTTTTTTCACCGTTTCCAGAAATGTTTCTTGAAAGTGGAAATGGCAAAACACGGCGACACTAAACATAAAAACCCGGCTCCAGGATTGAACACGGAGCAGGAACCGGTGAACAACGGCGACGGAACCGGCGAACAACAACCATCGGAACAAACAAAAAAGAACAAAACGGAACCGGTAAAAAGCAGCCCTGTCGCTTCCGGGGCCCATTATTCGGGCCGTCTTGGACTTGGGGGAAGCATGACAATAAGACCGATTACAACCACTTCGGACTGTTCAGAAGCTACCTCGGTCAACCTGAAGAATTCCTGCATAAATCTTTGTGGGGAACACCGGATTGCAACCGATCCAAGAGCTTTTCTGACACGTTTTTCTGAAGAGCTTCTGCAGAGCTTCAGCAGAGCTTCAGCAGAGCTTCTGCAGAGCCTCTGCAGAGCTTACGCAGAGCTTCCGAGGTGCTTATGAGGATCTTCTGGAAAACTTCTGGTGAGTTTCAAAAGAGCTTCAGCAGAGCTTCTGAAAAACTTCTGCCTCTGAGAAGCCTCAGCGCGACCTTTCATAGGCTTCTCTGAGGCCTCAGAAAAGCTTCTCTGACTTCTCTGAGAAACTTCTCTGAGGGCTCTGAGAAGCTTTTCTCAAAGGCTTCTCTGATACGCTTCTCTGAGACCTTTGAGAGGCTTCGTTGAAAAGCTTCTCTGAGGCTTCTGAAAGGCCGAGGCCTTTGCAAAGGTCTCAGCGAGGCCTCTGGGTGGCTTCTCTGAGGACTCAGCGAGGCTTCTGAAAAAAAGGCTTCCCAGAGGCGTCTGAGAGGCGTTTGAGAAGGCTTATTCTGAGCTCTATTGGGAGCTCTACTCGGAGCTCTGTGGGGCGCTCTATTGGGCGCTCTATTCGGGGCTCCATTGCGCGCTCTATCACGAACTCTATTGCGCGCTCTATTAGGAGCTCCACTTGGGCGTTCTATTCGGAGCTTTGTTGGGCGTTTTATTGGGCGCTCTACTGGGCGCTTCATTCGAAACTCGATTGGGCGCTCTGTTCGGCCCTCTTGAAGATTCCCGGAGATTCCCGAAGATTCCCGGAGTTAAGGAATTCCCTCGAAGGAATTCTTTAGATTCCCGAAGAGACCCTCTTAGGATTGAGCTCCTCAGACGAATCACCTGGGACTCTTATGCAAATCACATCGGAATCGTACACGATTCACATCGGAATCGTATACGAATCGCATGGGAATCGTCTACGAACAACATAGGAGACTTATACGGATCATGGCCACGTTCGAGCTCAAGTACATGTGCTCAGCTGAGATCACGGTCGGCCGCCGGTGATCGGACCGATCGCAACCGCTTTTTCAAATTCCCATTGGGCGGCTCCAGGGATTCCAGTGCATCCAGAAGCGCTATTATGATCTCTCTCTCTCTCTCTCTCTCTCTCTCTCTTCATCGGAATCTTATTGAAGCGACCCAAAAAGATCGCAACCACTTCGGACCGATCGCAACTGTTCGTGATCAGTCCGACGTGGTCGACGATCGGTCCGAAGTGGTTGTGATCGGTCTCCGTCGCGGGGGAGCATCCCAGGGAGTCGCCGGGAGGGGGGGGGCACCTGCGTACAAATGAGGGTGCGGCGTGGGGCCATGGGCAAAGGATCTCCTATATCTGCTGACATACACGTGATGTATACAAGAAGTCGGGCCTGTCCCTCTCTTTTACAAAAGAAAAGCTCAAACATAATATGTTTTAAAATGCTCGGGGGACGGTGTTTCGATTATGCTTGACAATTTGTGGAATCTGTTTGGACAATTGTTTGATATGTCTTGCAATATCCGCTGCTATGGGGGACATGCCCGACCAACATGTATACATACGTTGCAGCTGATCCTGGGTCCCCCTCTTCCTCTCTGTGCCTCTTCTCCTACTCCTCCTCTTCATCCTTCTCTCTCCTCCTCCTTCTACTCCTCCTTCTCCCAAGATCCAGTTTTTCTTGTCTTGCCCCCCCCCCCCTACCAAAAAAACGGCGCGGCCTCCCGTTGTTTTTTGTGGGGGTGGGCAGGACAAGAAACAAACTCGATTCTGGGGGAAGGAGGAGGAGCGGGAGGAGGAGGAGGAGGAGGCAGAGAAGGAGGAGATGGAGGCCACGAATTGTTGTGTTCCTTCGTCTGCCCCCCCCCCCTCAAAAACAAATCACTGTGCGAAACCATTTGTTGTCTGGCAAGGGTGGTGGTGGTGGCTTGGGTAAGCAGTCTGGTGAGGCCGCGGGCACTGCCTCTTTAGCGGCACCTCCCACTCAGGGATGGCTGGGGGGGCAGCTCACCACCTGTCGCGGTCTAGTACCGCAACGCCACGGCGCCACTTGGTCCGAGAGACTCCCTGGGGCACCTCCCCTGGGGCACCTTCCCCGCCCCACCTCAACCACAGGAAGGCCCAGCAATACCAGCCCCCAAATACCTGGGAGCGGGATATCCCAGAATAGGAGGGCGCTACTGCTGGGGTCCCGACCCAGGACGAAAGGGACAGGGGGATCCTTCCAGGGCAGCCCTGGTGGCCACCCGTGCCGGGCGGAACCTGCGCCGCAGAGTGGAGATGGACAGCGCGAGAGCTCCCGCTCACCTCCGCTGGGGCCTCGCCCGTCCTAGCACATCCCGGATGCCACCGCAGGGCGCAGCTGCGAGGCGATGAGAGATGAGTGGAAGAGGCCCTCCCCGAGTGGGTGCCCCCCGCCACCACCCCGGCTCGGCATCGGGACGCGGCCCGGCCTGCGGGGAGAGACAGGGGGGGGGAAAGAGCCCCCTCGCCCACCCCGAACTCCACCGGCCCCCAGGGGGGACCCAAGCCAGGGAACGGGCGAGGCCACCGCAACAAAACAGAAAGCCCCAGGAACCCCAGGGGAGCACACCCCGAAAGCCACAGGCCCCCAGGGGGGCCCTCGCCAGGAAACGATGCGAGGCCACCGAGACAGAATCCAGAGCCCCAGGAGCCCCAGAGGGGGGAGGGGGAGGAGGAGGGGAGGAAGCACAGGCGGAGGCCACCCCCGATCCCCGGAGAAGTCCCGGAACGCCCAGGCGGGAGTGTGTCCGCACACCGCAGATGCGGACTCACTCCCGCCCAGGGTTCGGGCACTTCTCCGGCAGCTGGGGGCCATGCTCCGACTCCTCCTTCGGGGGCGGCGACCGCATGCGCTCAATCTCGCCCTGCCCAGAACCGCCGCTGCTGCTTGTCCACACCCGCCGCGAGCGCGACCGCCTCCGCGAAGCCAGCCTCCCCCTGCCTGGCAGACGGCAGCGCGCGCGCACAAGCCTCCTGCGAGACCGGCTGGGGCTGCGCCCGCGCCGTCCAGAAGGCAGCCCGGCCTTCTGCGGTACCCGTGCAGCCGCTGCACACATGGAGCGACAAACTGCGATGCCGCGCGCCACACAGCACGCAGCTCTGCACGGCAGCCCACGACCTGCGCCCGCCCACGTGCCCCAGGATGAAGAGGCCAGCCCTCCAGCGGCTGAGGGACCGCATGCCCTGCAGAACGTCCCAGCTGCACGCGCCCTGGAGAGCTATCGCCAGATCCCGCACCGGGCCCTCGCACAGGGAGAGCAAATCGACAGGACGGTCATGTACCCTCGCCCTGAGCTGCCACTCCCCCCTGCACTTGCGAGCAACCTGCTGCTGCGCAGCCGCGACGTACGCCTCGCGCTGCTCCCCCGGGTGAGCCTGGGACCAGACCGGCCAATCCTGCACGCCCCAAGCCGCAATCAGCCTCTCGGACTGACTTGCCCAGGACAGTTCCCGGGTAGCGTGGGCCGCCAGGAAGACCTTCCGGTATAAGTCGTCCTCCGGGAGGGCCCAAAGCCCTGCGCGGCGGCGCGCCACGTCGATCACGCCCCGGCCCGCGC